CCAAAGGGGGTAAAGGGTTACAGGTTATGGGATAGGAACCAGGTAGGCTTTAAGGTGGTCATTAGCAGAAATGTGGTGTTTAATGAAACTGATTTTCCTTGCTTGACCGAGTCTGTTTCTAATCCTGAGTCTATGTCTGATACTACTCCTAGTGAGGTGGAGTATGTCCATGTTGTTGCTAGTCCTTTATCTGTTGATCCTGTTATTACTGATGATATTGTTATGCATGTTTTTGATTCCTCTGAGCATGATAGTCCCACCACCTCGAGTGAGGTGGAGCATTTGCATGATACTGAGCATGATTTGCATGATATGGGTTCTGAATCTGATTTTCATGACAACAATAATTTGCATGAGTTGCATGTGGAGCCTAGTAGTGATAATTTGCATGATTATCAACTTGCTAGAGATAGGAGTAGAAGGGCTATAAGGAGAACTGCTGATAGTATGCCTGATTATGCTTTCATTGTGCATGATACTTCTATGTTTGCATTTTCTGTGTTTGAATCCCTAGAGCTGAATGAACCCAAGACCTACCGTGAAGCCTTAGGTTCCAAAGAGTCTCAGAAATGGATTAGTGCCATGAAAAGTGAGATGGACTCTTTGAGAGTGAACCAGACTTGGACCCTTGTACCTAGACCCCCCAACTGTTCGGTAGTTGAGTGTAAGTGGTTGTTTAAGGTTAAGGAAGAACCTAGTGATGTTAGGTTTAAGGCTAGGTTGGTTGCGAAGGGGTTTACTCAAAAAGAGGGGGTAGATTATGCAGAAATCTTTGCTCCTGTTGTTAAATTCACCACTATTCGTATGATGCTTGCTTTAATTTCTCACCATGACTGGGAAATGAAACAAATGGATGTAACTACTGCATTTTTGCATGGTGAATTGGACAAAACAATTTATATGACCCAGCCTGAGGGCTTTGTGGATCCCAAAAGAAGTGATCATGTCTGTTTGCTTAGGAAGGCGTTGTATGGCCTGAAGCAATCCCCTAGGCAGTGGAACATCAAATTTGATAAATGCATGATATCTTTGAAGTTCCAAAAATCTGTTTGTGATCATTGCTTGTATTTCAAGAATACTTCTTTTGTGCCTGTATTTTTTTTACTCTATGTGGATGACATGCTGATAATTAGTCCTTCTCTGAATGCTATTAAAGATGTGCAAAAATGTCTTTGTGCGAATTTTGCCATGAAAGACCTAGGTGATGCCAAGAGGATCCTAGGCATAAACATTGTTAGGGATAGGAGTAAGCGTACTCTTACTTTGAATCAAATTTCTTACATAGAAAAAGTTTTGAGTAAATTCAATATGTTATCTGCTTCTCCTGTCAATGTCCCTATGGCATCTCACTTTGTGTTAAGTAAGGACCAGTCTCCCAAGACTGCTCCTGAAATTGAGAAAATGAAATTTGTGCCCTATTCCAGCGCAATAGGGTCGGTTATGTATCTTATGGTTAGCATTAGACCTGATATTGCATATGCGGTTAGTTGCTTGAGTAGATATATGTCCAACCCTGGTTTGCCTCATTGGAATGCTCTTAAGTGGTTGCTTAGATATCTGATATCTACTGTGAAGCATGGATTAGTTTTCTCTAAATGTGCTAGTGGTATTGATTTGATTGGTTATGTTGATTCTAACTATGCAAATGATAGAGATAACAGGAAGTCGATCACTTCTTATGTTTTTACTTTGTGTGGCTCTTGCATAAGTTGGAAGTCTCAACTACAGTCTATTGTGGCCCTTTCTACCACTGAATATGAGTATGTTGCAGCCACAGAAGCGTTTAAGGAAGCCATCTGGCTCAAACGCCTTGTCTCCGAAATTGGGTTTCTCAAACAAGGAGTTACCATTTTCTCGGATAGCCAATCGGCTATCCAACTTTGCAAAAATCCTGTATTTCATGATAGAACTAAGCATATTGATGTTAGGTTCCATTTCATACGTGATATTGTTGATGCAGGTGGAGTCAAGCTGTGCAAGATCCCGTCCGAGTTTAATCCCGCGGATATGGGTACCAAGTGTCTTTCTGCTGAGAAGCACTTGTCCTGTAAACGCGTATTAAACTTTGATTGTGGATAACTGTGGGTTGCCTAATAAAGTGTTTGCTAGTTTTATCTGTTGATATTCCGGGTGACCCGGCGATGATGAGTCTTGTCACAACCTTGTATTGTTACTCTACACCACCTAGGACCAATAAGGTGGAGAATGTTGGAGGTATTGGTCCTACCAAGACCTCCCTTCCACTTTATTTGCTGAGGCTTGCACCCTATGTTTTACTCTCACATTGGTACCTTTTACCTAGGTATATTATCTAATCAATTATATACCTGAGTGTTTGACTTACTGTTGGTCTGGCCCCTTTTGTTGTTGTCCGCTGCGCCTCTTGTCTTGGCTGCCCGTGAGTTTCTTTGTTGTTGTCTGCTTCACCCGTGACTTCCTCTCTGACTATCTGCCTACTATATAGAAGCCTTGCTTCTTCCTTATTTAGTAGCCTGCGAGAGTTACCTTCCAGAGAGCAGAGCTCCCTTCTTCTTCCTTTTCTTTGTGTGAGAGTAGAGAGGTCCTTAGTGGAGTGGAGAGTATAGACTGGTGTGCAAAAGCCTCCCCTAGAGTGGTGTGTGAGAATATGTGTAGAAAGATCTGAGCCGGAGACGGATATATGATACTAACATTGTGCGTATACACGAGTACCGCACTAGTTTGTATAAAAAATAGAGCAATTAGCAAAACAACAAAATGGTTACTTTGATGAAAAATGACAAAATTAGAATGAAAAGACGAACTTGGAGTATCAGATAAACCCAGGCCCACGAGATAAATTATGCTTCGTTTAACCCATCCTGTTCCTTCATAAATATATTTACGGAATACCTGGAATACTTGCAAATGGCTGGCTGATAATATATCTTCGTCAATATGCTAAAAATGGCAACCGATGAACATCAAGTAAGCCCTAATGAGCACTCTTTGGTTTCGTGTTTAATTTTTATCATTTGCTCAAGGAATGCTTCTTTTATTGTTCTTTACATATGTATAAATTTTACCGATAATTCATACTTATATTGATTTTTTAATACATTTTGTCATCAAATAATCATTTTATTTTCTTAGAGTTTGAAAATGAAGCACATTAGTTGCTCCTGTTACGGGTGCATGCACATAGGTTGGACGATTCCTTCAGTTTTTTTCTACTAGTACTTCGCATGTTTTTTTTTTGAATCAGTAAATATAGTCTTTATTTGAAAAAATAAACTGTTATGAGAATTAGCGCTACTAAAATCTGCCTATTTTGTTGTTATTATTAGGCAATAGTGCCAGGGGCGACTTTGAGGGCAGTTGGGCCAGGCAACTGCCTTGGGCCTCAACTACCAAGGGGGCCTCCAAAACGTTCTACTCCGTTATTAGTATTAGGTGTTATTCGCAGCCCGCCAATACATCAAGCGACAACTGCAAGCAGAAATCAGCTTTATAGTTCACTTTTGACTATTCGTCCTTCATCAAAGTTGTAGCTAAGGAAGTCTTCTATCCAACACAACTTGCAAAACTGGATTTGAATCATCCAATAAAAATATATGAATAAAATGGTGGAAGGTCGCATTCTGAAATCTCAACAGAGATTGTCTGACTTCATCGTCTGTTTTCACCTTGCTTCTCTCAGATTCTCACAATGGTGTCTTCATATGATTTGTATCCCTTGAAGTTGGCTTTCATATGAAACTTGAATCATGTTTTTTGGATGTTCCTAAGAAAGGATATGCTTGAACGATTGACAGAACGTCATCCTGACCGTTGTTTTCAAGCTCTATTCGTCTTCTTCTGATCCCGTAGCCAATTCTAGAGCTCTTTTGTCTTCAAAACTTTGTCTTTAACACCTCACTGATCTCCAATGCTCCTAATCAACTCTAAAATGCTTCTCAACTCGTCCCTATTGCTTCTCAAACACCGGTGCCAGGCTCAAATTCCCTGATTTTGACTCCGAAAATACCAAAACTCGAACCAACGGTCGGTAAATATGACTTGAGCTTAAAATTGAGACTTATTACACCTTAAAGTTAGGAAAAAACTATCAAAAGCCGATCTCAACACGCATCAACGTCCAACACAGACCGCTGATCAACTACTGTATATATGCCTCACTGCCCGCCGTCGACATGGGTCCTTGGTTAGTGAATCAACCAAGACTCTTCAGCTCTTCTCTCTGAGTCTCGTTCTTGAAGTCTCTTAATACTTTTGCCTTGTGTTTTGAATAAGTTTGCATTTTAAAATTTATCCTTTTGAATGTTACAAACATTATATCGTGGACTTTGAATATGCTTTTTTTCATAAGGTGATTTTTATTCAATTTATCTGATTTTAAAAGTGATTTGTACATAGTAAATATTTTTCGTCTGGGGCCTCCAAAATGCTCAAGCCGCCTCTGAATAGTGCAATACTTACTTCATATTTGCTTAAATGTGATGTGCTTGATTGCAACCTATAGTGATCTGCGTACTTGTGGACTTATGGTTATCCATCCTCTAACTCTACAGCTGGTCCATACTCCACAGTTTCTGTATATCATTCCATGTAGCATACACAGTGTTATTTTAAGGAAATAATATCATATGTACCATTTACTAAGCTATTATACCTTCTAGCTTGTTCGTCATTTCAGATATTTGGGTTCATGATTCATTTATGTTCACCCATGTATTGTACAAACAACCCACTTAACCCACGAGATTTACCCTTGTAGAGAGAGTTGCATCCTTTCTTAGTGTGTAATTGTTTCCATACGAAGCATGATGTCACTTTATAACTGGACTATGATGTGCATTGCAGGCTATGGATATCTGGTTGAGTGGAATTGATGACAATGGAGAAAGGATAGACATAATAAGTAGCTTACCAGATGAAGTACTTGTTCACATACTTTCATTTCTTCCTACTAAGCATGCTGTGGGTACTAGTATTTTATCACACCGCTGGCAATATCTTTTTACCGGAGTAACCAACCTTGACTTTGATGAATCACTCATGTTTCACTACAATGGCGACCACAGTTACCCTCGGCTTAAGGCATCATGTACCTTCAAGGATTTTGTGGATAGGGTTCTGCCACTTTGCAAATCCCCTCGTATTAGCAAATTCCGCCTTAAATGTGAATATGGATTTGACTGTTCAAACCTTAATGCATGGATCACCTTCGCATTACTTCATGATGTTGCAGAGCTTGATGTCTCAACACATGGACATAATTTAGGAATGTTGCCCTCCTCTCTGTATACTAGTAGGACACTAGTGGAACTGAAGTTGTATGGAAGATTTGACATGAAGTTTCCAGAACCTGTCCAGTTGCCATATCTCAAGTCCATGCAACTTTTTAGTGTTGAATTTTCTGACCCTTACTCCCTTAATAGGCTGATTGCAGGGTGCCCTCTGCTTGAGGATCTTGTTGTTGGAGGAGATTGGGAAGATGTTGAAGATATTAACATATCCTCGGCAAGGCTGACTAGTTTGACTATGGATTTTAGAGACAGTTTTGGCTCATTGAACCACAGATCTAGTGTGGTGCTTGACCTTCCAAATTTGGTGTATTTTAACTATGTCGATAGGTTGGCCAGGAGATACTCTCTCATGAATCTGAACTCACTTGAGGAAGCTCGCATTGAAGTTTTATTGGACATGGATAACCCTGTGTGGTCGGCTTCCTGTAGTGCTGTTCTTGGCCTCTTATATGGAGTTTCAAATGCCAAGCATCTATTTCTTTGTGGCAAATGCCTGGAGGTAGCTTTTTGAACTCTTAACATTCAAGTTGTGTTTTGTCCCTTTGCATTCAGAATATTGTTACATATGCTCACACCATTTGCTTTATAAAAGTCTGTTCTTGTCTGGTATCTAGTGAAGCTAATCTTTTTCCTTGTTTGGTCATGTTTCTGGGAGGGTCTTGACACTGACGAGTATACGTTGCCAACATTCTTTAATTTGCGACGGTTGGAGTTTGGCTGGAGCAAATATTTAATATGGAGGGATGTGTTGTGTCAGTTCCTCGATAGTGCACCCATGCTTGAGGATCTAGATTTCTCAGAGATTAGGGGACTTCTTCACATGGACTTATTTCAATAATGAATGCTTAAATAGACTGAAACATACCAGACCAACACTAAATAATATGGAGTAATAAACTCTCACATAACATCATACTATAACAGATCAGAGCAAACTTGTGCATACCATATCACAAAATTCTAGTGCAAATGGGCAGGTTTTGAGTTGTAATAATAACTAATTTGATGAGTAAATTTGTTATTTGGCCTCCATTATTTTGGTGATTCCTGTAGGGACTTTTTCATCGTAAAAGCGATTCTGATGAGTACAGTGACGAGAACTTTTGGGCCAGACAACGGAAAACGCCTGTTTGTCTCTCTTCTCATGTCAAGACCATTACGATAGGCTTTTTTCATGGTTTTGGGGAAGAAGTGAAGATTGCAAGGTATCTTCTCAGGCACGGTAAGGTTTTGGAGAAGCTAATATTGGATTATGACATCCAATCAAGTGAGGACGAGCGAGAACTAAAGAAACTACTCAAGGCCAAAAGGGCCTCCAAAGAATGTATAATTGAGTTGCTATTTTGATGTTCTGCAATACATCCTACGACGCTCATTTCTGGATTTATTTATTTATTTATTGTCAGCAGCATTATCTTTTACTTTGGTAATCAGACTTGGACCTCTGGTGATGGTTTTAATGGATTGACATGGAATTATCTTTACTCTGCTAACCCTTCTGCTATTATTGCTGCTGCTGTTAATTTACAAAATGAACACAGGTAGTAGTTGATGTAGAATTAGTTCAAGTTTGAGAGGTACATGATGTACATGCACTAAATTATACTACCAAACATAGGATGTGTTGTGCTTACACCAAGTTGGGATTTAAGGTGGGAGATCCTTTATTCCTTTTATGGTATTTGAGACTAACTTAAAGTAGGCCAAACGGGAGGTGGTAGATCCCATGTCCCCGATCAGCTTTTGGTTAAGACTTAAGAGGGTACTTGAGTAATGTAGAGAAAACGTTCCCAAGGTCGAATCAAGCGATTCTTGGTAGGTAATTTATGGTCAACCATTTTGAAATCTTGAACTTTATGAGGGTTCAAGTTGATTTACTCAATTACTTCTTTGGGCTCATGAAGTTTTAGTTTAAGTTTTACTTTTACTTCATGAAGTTTCTTTATATGAAGTATGAAGTTTCAGTTTTCGTGGTCCATACATCCAAATCCGGACCATCATAAACCTGTTTATTTATACGGAGTATTTCGTAATAGGGTTGGATTCGGTTCGGGCCACCCGGCCCGTGACCCGGCCCGGCCCGGTACTGTGCGGGCCCGGGACCGGCCCGGTCGGGCGGTCCGGGACTGGGTATGGACCCGAACCGGTGGGAATGGGCGGGGCGGGCTCGGTGCTGGATTAATGTGACCCGGCCCGGCCGGGTCGGGCCCGGGCCCGAGTCCAGTCTTATTTTAAAAAAAAAAATTGTTTGGGCTCTTGGGCTACTAGCCGTTGGGGGTGGGGATGGGGACAACCCAAACGGCTATATAGCCGTTGGGTGGGGTAAAGGGGGGGTCCGGGGGGGTTGGCTGGTGGGGTGGTGGTGGTGGGGGGTGGGGGGTAAAAAAACCTATAAATACTCCTAATCTTAAACATTTTTTCATATCTCTTCTCCAATTCTTCCTAAATCCTATTCTTAACTCTCTACTCTCTTATTCTCCATTCTTCAATATATTATATTTATTATTTATAGTTTATATTAATTATCTACTTATATAAACTATAAATAGATATAAATAGTATTATATTACTTATATTTGTTATCTAATTATATATTACTTATATATTTATTATATCTATTAATATAGTTGGAATTATATCTAATTAATTTGAAGTCATTCTATTACTCCCATCCGAAAGACCGAAAGTCCGAAAGAGGTACGAAATTATTCTATTATTTACACTTGTTTAATTACTAGTTAATTTGCTACATTTGACTCTTGTTTAATAGTTAGATAAATAGTTAATTAGTTTTTTACAATTTTTTATTAATTGCTACATTTGACTCTAGTTTAAAAAATATGTTGTACACAAAACTAGTTAATTCACTACTTAATTTGCTATAACTCGAATTAATAGTTAGATAAATAGTTAATTAGTTTTTTACAATTTTTTATTAATTGCTACATTTGACTCTAACTTGTTTAAATCCGCAATATTGGTTTAATATTTGATTGAACGTATTTTAATTGAGTATAATTTAATTGATAAGGTGTTTGCTATTGGTTTTGATAATGCTACTAATAATACTGCTGCTATTCCTAGATTGCGTGAATTGTGTGGTTCTACTTCTTTGATGGGTAGATTTTTTCATCAACGATGTGCATGTCATGTTCTAAATTTATGTGTGCAAGATGGTCTAAAAGCGTTGGGAGCATCGTTGGAGGTAGTCAAGGGGGGGATTAGACGTATTTGGGGTAATGGACAACTTAGGAAAAAATGGCATGATTATTTGATAGAAAGAGGTGAGAGATATGTGGCTTTTCCAAAAGATTTGTCTATTCGTTGGAATAGTACCTATAAGTTAATTGGAGTTTTTCTTAGATATAAACAACATTTTCCTGCTTTTATGAAACAATATGATAACTATATTATAAACTCGGCTGAGATCGACACCTGTGAAAAAAATTGTAATGCTTTGATATATTTTAATAATGCAACTGAAACTTTTAGTCATGTTTATAAACCTACCTCAAATCTATTTATTCGTGAAGCTGTTAATCTCGTCGGTGCTTTTTCAAATTTTGAGAATGCTGATTATGTGAATTATTTTGCTGGTTTTATGAAGGAAAAGTTTTTAAAATATTATTCACATATTCCGCATATTTATGGTATTGCATTTGTTCTCGATCCTCGTTTTAGACTTGGTTCTTTAGAAGAATGTTTGAATTATTATTATGCTGCTTTTTTTGGTCCATTGCCAATGTATGAGGACAACCCAATTGATCCGAAAAAAGAATACAACGAGGTTAGTGATATATTTTATGCATTATTCAATGAGTTTCATGCACAATATGGCAATGCGCCCCCTCCCCCTGCACAAACATCATCTAAAGGAAAATCAATTTTCAAATCTACGTTTGCCAATCTTATTAAAAAAACAAAATCAACTCCCGCTACACAACAAAGCACAATTAATGAGATTTCTTTGTATTTAACTTATGATGTTGATTTTGAAGAAGATGATGATTTTGACGTACTAAACTGGTGGAAGGGAAAAGAAAGAATGTTCCTGGTTTTAGCAAAGATGGCTAAGCAAGTGCTATCAATGCCGGTTTCAACGGTTGCCGTGGAACAAGAATTTAGTTCGGCCGGCAATGTTCTAACACAAACCAGAACGAGATTGAGCGCTGAATCTCTTGAGATGCTTATATGTTACCACGATTGGTTGAAAGCAGCACGTAGAGCTCAAGAAATTGACATCACTCCATCCCAACACTTTATGGATGAATCTACAACAAAGGGTGGCTCTACCTATGCCTGAGATTCCGATTAAAAACAATTATAGTTCCTATTTAATTTTCAAATGTAGTTCCTATTTCATTTCAAATAAATGCACTTGAAGTTTGTTTTTTAATACTTGTATAAAACTATAAAGTATAAAATATAAATTAAAAAAAAATTAACCGGCCCGGCCCGGCCCGGCGGGTGGCCCGACCCGTGACCCGGGCGGGTGGCCCGGCCCGAACCGGACCCGTCCAACCCTCGGGCCGGTCCCGGGCCCATGTGATATGAACCGGAGGCCCGACCGGGCCTAGGCCCGGCCCGGGCCCAACCCAGCCCGAATCCATCCCTATTTCGTAATAGCAGTCATTTTTATTGGTTTAATTAAATGACCTAAATTTTGCTCATAGCTTCAATGAACATCCGTTTAGTAAAAAATTCACACTACTTAAACACTTTGTGATAATTAAGTATATAAATTTAGACAAAATCGCTTACAACCTTAATTAATAACGTAAATAAAAAATAGCATGATCTAGGGGTGGATTCGGTTCGGGCCACCCGGCCCGGCCTGCTACTGTGCGGGCTCGGGATTGGCCCGGTCTGGCGGTCCAAGACCGGGTGTAGACCCGAACCGAGGGGGGGGGGGGTGGGAGGGCGGGGCGGGCTTGGTTCCAAGAAAACGTGACCCGACCAGGGTGGGGGGTACAAAAAATTCTATAAATACTCCTATTTTCTAACATTTTTATACACATCTTCTCCAATCTCCAATCTTCATTCTCCACTTTCATCTTCATCTATTCTAACTCTAGTATTTATTGAATTATTATATCTACCATTTTTAAGATGGAAAATCAATATGCTGGTATCACGTATAATTTTTATACGGAGAAGGACCCGAGGACCGGGATGTGGTACGCAACTTGCAAATGATGCGGGAAAAAGTGTAGCTTGGGGGTTTCACGCGGATACGGGATGATCAACAAGCATATTAAGTCATGTGACAAAGCCAAAGGACCCGGAAATTCCGACCGATTACAAAATGTATTTCATATTGTATTTTTTTTCTCAATTGTCAAATGTAGTTCCTATTTCATTTCAAATAAATGCACTTGAAGTTTGTTTTTAATACTTGTATAAAACTATAAAGTATAAAATTTAAATAAAAAATGGATATACCCGGTCCGACCCGGCCCGGCCCGAACGGGTGGCCCGGCCCGAACCGGAACCGTCCAACCCTCGGGCCGGTCCCGGGCCCATCAGTTATATACCGGCGGCCCGACCTGGCTAGGTCCGGCCCAGGCCCGACCCGATCCGAATTCATGCCTAGCATTAACATACCGAACTAGCAGGAACCTGGAATTCCTTCAAAAAAATTCAATTGCTAATGTAATTTTCATTTTTTTTCTTTTTGATTTATTTCTCTTGTACTCTCAAATTTCAGTGCATGTACTTCTTACTCTATTTTAATAAATTAGGGAGGTGTTCCCCGGCACCCGTGTGGTTGAACTAGGAAAAAAAAGACATGTTGATTCTCAA